TAGGTTTTACTAAGATGCTGTAAGCAATGTTAGCATTCTTGCTAACTTATACTACAGTTAGCAAGACTTAGCAAAACACTTCACAAACACAAACACATGGTAGTTCTACAAAATCTGCCAGACATGTCTGACATTAAAATACTGTAGCCATTCTAGTGTAGCTGGTTGACTAATGATGTTTTACTGATTAAGTTAGTTTGAAGTTGTGGGCTTGTTTTGATGCCTGATGCCAATATCTTAGAGAGGAGGTTGGCCGATGGCCAATATTAAGTTTATATATATGATACCACGTTATTTAATTTAAAAGTAGTAAATAACACATGCATAAATGCAATGCAATTTATATGTTTTACATAATATTTCCTCAAAGTTTTTTTTTTTTTTTTTTAATGAATGAATTTAAATAAATGAATTGCACTTGATACAAAATAAATTTGTAAAACAAACATTTATACTAGGAAGTTCGGAACTTCTTGATTCTTTTATAATGTTATCTTAACATAGTATTGTTCATAAATACAGACATTAAAAACACAAATAAAAAGGAATTAAACTCTTTTACCAACAGTGTAATCAGTAATCTGGTAAGTTTATGTATACTAGGAATCATATTTTTCTAAGAAAGACTAGGTTCTCAGCAATGTCAAAATAAAAGTCCCACCATCTGACGCTTATCGGCCAAACTGAAAAACTTAGCGATAACTGAAAAATACCAAATACCTGCCGATATATATTAGCCATGGCAACATATTTTTGCATTCTTGCTAACTTTCACCAGAATCAGCCAGACTTCAAACCCTTCCAGTAAATGGTACCTTTCCAATAAAATTATCAAATTAATTGGATTCATTCAGAATTAGAATTTTAGCTTCTGTTTGTTGTGAAGTGAGGATTGTCGTTCTTACATCTCTCTTCAGAAGTGACAGTGCAAGCTGGATTGCTTTTCTTTTTTCATTCATCTCTCACCATGTTTGATGAGAATGCACTGCAGACACAGCAGGAAGTGAGAGCTGTGCAGCTTGTTCATGTACCTACAGCTCCCAGCTGTGATCCAGCGGAGGTTCAAAAACACAGTAGGATATAAAGGGCACAAGTAACTTCCTTTGGCCCAGCCTAGTTTTTCTCTCTACAGTTCTCTCTGCTTCACTCTTACCTCTGCCAACCGCATGCACCACAGATGGGCCGAACCCCCGGATCTGAAAGCCCAATCCGTCCACAGAGTCTGGGATCTTCACAGTCCTGTGGAGCAGATAGACACACAGACATCAATTTTGGTCGCCATGCACATCACATTTTCTGGCCGTTGCTCCAAGCGTATTGTGTATTCTGGGTTGCAGTTAAATATTGAGCTGATATCCATCAATAAAAGGATGTTTATCTGGCAGGTTCTTAATTTAATTGATATCAGGCTTTATAGACAATCTGTCTAGTGTTATGAATCCTTAGATCACAGGAGATGAGAGGTTTTCTACTCACTCTCTGGGTTTGGTGCTGACCAGTACTCTGAGGGGGCCTTTGATGTGGAAGCACTGTTTTAGGAAGTTTTCCACATCCTGGAAAGGTCTCAAGAAGACCAGGTCCCCATTAATAGCAAAGATCTTTTTCCCCACTTCCAGACCAGCCATCTGCACAAGAGACACGCAGGAATATCAAATAACCTCTCACTCTAGATATATAGTTGCTCCAAAATTACGTGGACACTTAAAAACGTGAGAATGCCATTAGACAGCAAAACATAAAACATTTATTTATTTAAAATATAAAGCTAGGACAAACACTTTCAAAGTAAACTATTTCACAAAAAAAAAGGTTTGAAATTTTGTTTAGTTAATTCATTAAATTATTTATTTATTTTGTGAAATAATACTTTTACTTAACACTTTATTAATATTAATGTTAATAATTAATACTTTTACTCAACACATTAAACCAATCAAAAGAGACAGTAAATTATTTTATATTTTATATATTATTTTATATTCAAGTTTATTTGTATAGCGCTTTTCACGATACAAATCGTTGCAAAGCAACTTTACAGAAAATTAAGTTTCTACAATATATTTAGTAGAAATATATTGTAGAATTTAATATATTTAGCATAAAAAACTTACTTAAAAAAATCAATAACTCATACCAGCCCCAAACTTAACAGTAGTGTAATTATTTTAAAAAAATCAACATTTCTCTTGTCACACTGGATGAAGTTGATGTTATGAATGACACCTTTGTTTATTTTGCTGTGTAAAATTGAGGGAAAATAACTACTTTGAGGTTAATGTATATAAAAACTTACTTAAAAAAATCAATAACTCATACCAGCCCCAAACTTAACAGTAGTGTAATTATTTTAAAAAATCAACATTTCTCTTGTCACACTGGATGAAGTTGATGTTATGAATGACACCTTTGTTTATTTTGCTGTGTAAAATTGAGGGAAAATAACTACTTTGAGGTTAATGTATATATCTCATGTATGTATGTACATGAATGGATGGCTGAATGCATAGATAAATTTCATTTTCACAGGTGCAGGGTTCAATCCTTTCATCTATATGTGCAACTTCCTGCTCTGAGCTCTCAAGTGGATGCAATTCATTCACTCTGTGCTTCACTGAATGGATTGGACACGTCTCTTGACAGCTATAAATATAACCATTCTTCTCTTACAATAAAATGTACAGTCCTCCGTTTCCGGATCATGTTTTCCCTCTGCACTGAGAAAAATGGTTGGGCAGCTTTTCCCTTTTTTCCCTGTTGCTTTTTCTTTCCCTTTTTCATTCACTTTTTCTTTTTCATTCACCTCTCTCTCTTGGTCACTGTCTTTTTATCAGTTACAAACACGAAAGCCCATTTTGCTATTTTTACGAGACAGCTTTTCATCTATGTAAGTGCACAGCTGGATTTTATTGCCTATTTCCCCTTTTTTTCACTCTGCTCTACATTGGAAACAGATCCACATGCAATGCAGCACCCGTACTGTGATGCACAAGTTACTTGAGGTCTGGGTGGCATCACTCTCTCTATGTCAGAACCGAGTCAGTTTGCTTGACCACATTTGCCAGGGTTTAATCTAACAGATCGAACATATTAAAGCACTAAAAGGGAACCTCAAGACTGGTGTGATTTGAGGTCTATTTGTGTTATAAGCCCACAACCACAAACATCCAAATGTTCATTATCACAAAGCAAGTTCAATTAGAGTGTTAATTGCTAATTAAGGTTTTCAATTTCAATTTCAATTTGAATGCCTAATTGGTCTGATCGAGCACAAACAAACAAAAAGATGAGCTTGACAACAGGTGTGTAAATGGTCTCATTAAACCCCTCACCACCGTTTTTATTTTTTTTTTATTTTACTATGCTTGGAAATACATTAGAGAAGCCTATCTTTTATATTCACAGTAAGTCTAGCTAGAAATGCTGAAGGAAAAACAGACCAGTGGTTCTCAACTGGTGGGTCGTGACCCAAAAACAGTGTGCAGGTCTGTTCTAAAAGAGAACAGGGACAAACTATGCTAAATAAAAATAACAAAATGCAAATAACCATACAATAGTTATGAATGCAAAATGAATAGGCTTTTCAAAGGAGAGGAGAAAGCACTTCTCATATGCAAACAAGGTTGCACAACATTACACTTTTAAATATAAGTAGTGGGTTTCAATTTACGCAAATATCTAATGATACAAATGTTACAAAAACAATTCAAAGCGGTTTAAATGTTGACATATATTAGTAAGATGATGTGATTTTTTTAGATAGTTTATACTTTTTATTTATTATGCACACAAATGGACCAAGGTGAACATATTTAGACAGGTTGTGAAACCTGTTTTGTTTTTAGAGTCAGACAGTTGAGTATACCTATCAAAAAAATCTAGTACAAACGTAATTGGTGGTCGTCAGTGGCAGCTGTCACAGTTGCTTGGCGACAAGAGCAATCCTCTGTAGACGAGACCGTCCCATAATGCTCAGTTCGACCTTTGCGTTCTTAAAGGATGCATCCCCTGAATTGGGACGCAGCTTTTGTGTTGCTGTATCTGCTAAATATGTCTGAAGAACTGCATTGTTTGGCAGAAAATTATTATTATTTGTATCATAAATTATTACATTATTAACCATAGCTGTGTATTTGTTTTGAAACCTTACCCGGTATATGTAGTTCCATTTTATAAAAGCAAAAAGCCTAATGAAGCCACTATTTACAGTGATTTTAAACAGCTAAGGACAGTTTACTTTTGTACAATAAAAATACTGGTAAACAACTCAAGTCACCACTTGATGTCCAAAATAAAATCAGGGTCTTTATGCAAAACCAGTTGAGAACTAAAAAAAAATAGGATTTCTGTTTTTCTAAATCACACACACAAAGGTAACACACGTACCTCAGCATGAGAACCTTTCTCCACTGATTTGACGATGAGTACTCTGTTTCGATCTTCTAGCGTGAAGCCATAACCTCCTTCACTTGGCTTTATCTGAAATCAGAGTACACATTTCACAGTTATCATGACTTAGTAGCTTTGGTTTTGTCATGCAGTGACATTTTATTACAATTCATGTCTTGGAACTGCTCCTAGAACGTGAACTTCAATCTTGCATGAGCCCAAACTGTCAAACCAGTTGACTTCATGTTTAAGTATAATGAGAGGCTGCTTTAGAAACAGTCAAGCATAATTACTGGTGAAGACTCTAGAGTCAGAGCTGGCCTGAGTTCAGACCCCCCGTTCGTGCCAAAGCAGAAAAGCCCCATGCGAGTGGATGAAAACCACATGGGCTCAAGCCAACGTGAGCTATTGTAAGTGCCATCAGCTGTAGGCGATTACAGACGACATCTCTCACCAGCAGCGACTTGGCGATGACATTCTCCACTATTTTAAGATCATGCTTTATGGGCTTGTGTTTGGTGTTGGAACCCTCCATTTCCTCGTCGGCAAAGAAGCGAAACAGAAGAGGCTCGTCCTTAAATTCACTTTTTTCCAAAACTGCAAAAAGACAAAAGCAAGATGTTTTAGGACAAATTATACCTGATGCTCATTCAGTAGTGCTAAATTTCCAAAAAAGCCAAAAATCTGATATTTGAAATTTACATGTACTGTGGTGTCACATGCTAAACTCTGTCTAAATTAAATAACATTCTGATTCTATTTGACTACTACTTAATTTCATTTCACTTAAATTATTCATTTAATTAATTTCATTCCACGCCAATTATTAATAGTATTCTATAACTTACAGAACAAGAAGCAACTTTATAGCAACTACTTTGTTGTTATGTTTTGGCGGCTCCTTGTCATGCAGCAGATGAGAATCAAATTGATGTGTAAATTGAATTTGTGAACTACACAGAAGAGGGTAACACATAATGTACTGGAATGACAAGAGCCGTACAGAGAGTTTCAGAGGGGAAGCCTTTTCTATGGAAAGTGGGTCCTGTGAAAAGAAACAAGCATGGATTTCAATCTGTCACCCCGGCAACAAGGGCTCTAAACAATCTCTTCACTTTTGTAGTAAAAATACCCCCCAATGAGAAAAAGAGGTCCAGTGTTTTCTAGACTTCTGTAGGCAAGATTAGATAAAGCTGAATTAGCTTTAATGGCCACATAACCAAGTAAACCATCTTAAAAGGATGAATGCAATGGTCGCATACAAGGCCAAAAAATGAAAGCATAGCCAATCAAGTTATTACGTTCTATAAATTTGTTGGTAGTTTACCGCGTACGAAACTCAATTGCAGGCTGTTGGGAGCAGCCCATGTTAGACTATAAATGAGTCACACAAGCATGATGTGGACTTTGGCATCGAGTGCCCTGAAAATGAGACCCGAATCCTGCAAACAAACGGTTGCCATGACAACTAGCCAGTCAAACTTGGATTGTGGAGAAGGTCAAGGCTGTTGTCGAGAGACAGAATGTGCAGAATCCAGCTAGAGGAAAAGTTTTGCAATGTGCAATTTACCTCATACGCTACAAAAAAAGAAATGCTTTCAATTCAAAATGTTCTAAAAACATCGAACATATCAAATGTTCTAAATAGATTTACTCAAGAAGAAACTGTTAACATATTATCTTATAATTAGATCAATCGTTTAAGTAAACAAATCATTCTCATTCATATTTTTCATATTTATCATTTACTGAGTTTCTCACTTCATGTGATTGCTTTTTCAGTTGTGAACAATTGTTATTTTTAATGAATGATTGAGTTATTGATTCAATGTCATACTCAAAACTCACAAAAAGACACTTGTCACTACCTAAACCCATTGAACAAATCAAAAAAATGAACCAATGAACAAATCAACGAATGGAACAAATCAGTAAAAATATTGGAACAAATGACTCACTCAAAACACACACAAATAAATACTTCTCAATCTTTAAAGCCATAGAACTAATCAGTGACCAAATCATTGAATGCATCTAAATCAGTAAATGAATCTGAACAAGTCTTTTGGGTGAACAGACTGAAAAAGGTCACTGAGATGAATCAAAAATCACTCCTAATAAAATTAATGAAGTTTATTTCCCTGTTCCCATTGGCAAATTGTATTTTTGACATTGTTTCTGTTGTTTTAAAGTTTAAACCTCACTAGAGTTTCTTTGATTTATGCTTAAAACATGCTGGTTTACACTTTTGGGATGAGTTAAGATAAGACGTGCACACAAAAAGACAACTTTGACATACTATGTCAAAGAGACAAAAAGAAAAGATATAATCAGACAGACACACAGAAATAAAGAGAGGAAATAAAAAAGAAACAATGACATAAACGACTATCGTACCATGATGCATGAATCCATTGTCACACAGCTCCACCCCCAAGATCAGCGCCTCTTCTCTGCTTCGGCAGTCACCCTTCATAAGAGAAAGAGACAAGTGCCAATCTCTTTGTCTGCTTACAAGTGGTCAAAATGTCACACACCCTCCTTTGAGCTACAGAAAACCACATTTAATTCACACAAACACTACTGCAGTCCGGTCGCCACAGTGTGACAACTCTGAAGGGTCACTTGACTGCCTGGCAATAATTTCATAGTCGAACACAACACATCATCTTATTGAAAGTTGCCTCTAAATATCTGAATCACACTTCAAATTGAATCAAAATGTGCATTCTCATGATGACTAGTCTGCTGGCTAGACGGTGGTTTATTGTTACAGTTCTCTTCCGCCTCAGCATATTTGAGATTATCCGGCCTGTTTAGGAAACAGCTACCACTTTTGCTCCATTCTTTCCTCTTGTCTCATTTCCTATGGATATCAATGTGTTTACAATCGGTCTATAAAACAGAATCAATGTCCAGAACAATCAAACTCAAATCTTACCTGTGCTATGAGCCAGTCTATCAGCTTGTTGGCCATCACCACCGATTTATATGTTCGTAGATGATAATCCTTATCCCTGTATGGAAATCAAGTAAAATTCGACTTGAACAGTTCAAAAAATGTCTCCTCTTTACACACATTTCAAGCTAAACTTTAACCCTTGCCCTTACTTGCATTCGCCTGTTCTGGGCTTTCACGTCACGACAGCCCTTTCCTCTCAATTTTTCGAGGCCCAAACAAGTTCCTTACCTTGAATTTCTTTTAGGGTTACACAGGGGTCATAATGTTTGACCGGGTAAGGACCCTCTGCATATATTTTGCTCTTGCTGACCATGCTAAGTGGCACAAAGTTGATCTGGGAGAACTAAATTGGAAATTTTTATCAATGCCGTGTGAGTTGATGTGTTGAGATGAGAGAAGATGTCAAGTAATCACAATGGTGAACTAATTGACTAGTCAGTTGTTGAAGATTTTTTCCAGTTTTGATATTTTTAGCAGACGACTGCTTTTTTTTTGTGATGTGATGTGATTTTTAATAAATCGTTGAGTTAATGTCTCATTTAAAAAAAACACTTGTCACCATATAAAGCCAATGAATAAATCAGTGAATGAATCTGAATGAATCAGAACAAATCTCTTTTTTTCATCCGTTAATAGCTTATGTTTAATTAATCGGGTTAATGATTCAACGTTTCACTCAAAAACTTGTCACCACCTGCCATTGAACAAATCAGTAAACAAATAAAGACACTTGTCACCACCTAAAGCCACTGAATGAATCAGTGAATAAATCCATGAATAAAGCAGTAAATTAATCTGAACAAATCTTTTTTTCAGTTGTGGACTACTTGTTTTAAATGAATCATTGAGTTAATGATTCAATGCCTAACTAAAATCACACAAAGACAACAAAAAGACAACTTGCTACCATCTAAAGCCATTGAATCAAACAGTGAATGAAATGATGAACAAATCAGTACATGAATCTGAACAACTTTTTTTGTTCAACATAACATCCTGGTTGTCAATTTTGGGATGTATATGACAGAATACACATAAGATATGACAGAATGGGGGAAAAAAACACAACTTTAAACATGGTTGGATTAGCATGCTGCCAATTACAGGTTTACACGATTAAACCATTCTGGAAAAGTGAATTCAGTACCGGTAGAACATGCCACTTTAGTCATAAACATGCAGATGGGTATCTTTGGCTACTGAGTTGCATCTCATGCTGTTTCTTAAGTGTCTTGCTACTGGCATTGCTTATTTAAGCTCCAGTAGAGGTCAGCAGGTGACTCTCAGCTCAGTTTGGTCCAGCTCCAGGGCCTGGAATGGGTCAAATGGATGCTTTCTGGCTGTTTCCAGACCACAGAAAATTAAATGGAGCAAAGATTTTCCCATGAAGCCAAGGGTCTCTTGGGGGACACTCGCTGCGCTAGGTCAGAGAGCTACGCTAGGGCCCACACCCTACACACTCACACACACTAGACTCCAAACTTAGCTGTTTGAATTCAGAGAATTCGAAAACATCCCCATTCCATTTTTACACAACCAAACACCTACAGATGACAGGAAATGTGCATTTTCTCTTAAAGAAATCCTCTCTCACATGCACCTCAAGTGTGTATGATGGTTCCTGTTCGATTATATAAGGATTTGTTTTAATCACAGTCCACAAGTGTGAGTCTGGACAGGCCTTGCCATGATTTGACCGCTACAGACATGGAGCCAGCCCTTTCCTCTGTAGCTGTACTCAGAACTGTCAGCGTGACAAATGAGGGTAAACAGCGTTACCACAGGCAGTCATATGCCTGGCACAAGAGCACTGCAATCTGTAGGACAAGTGTGTGCAAAGCCAACCAAACCTTTCAAATCCTTTTCAGTCTCCAGATTTTGAGCATTTGGTCATTTTTAAACACTCTTAGATATTTACTTTCTTTTTGTTCTACTTCTCACTGTTATACAGTATGGCTGGAATGTTACTCATCCTGGATTTTGGGGCACAGAAGAGCTGGGTTTTTTTTAATATGGTTGAGGCGGGGGTGTGAAGCCCCTCCAGAGCCCCTCCAACCAGCAGGAAATACCAGATAATTAAACTAGAGCTGAATTCTCCAATTATAGCTTTGCACGGAAGAGATGATCAGTACAGAAATATGGGAATGTATGCATTCTTAAGCCCTACTTGGACGCTAATTGTATCTCATGGGGATGTCAGTAAAAATGAATTTGCATGGCATCTCGGTGATAAAACTCAGGCATTCAGATGGCGATTTGTTCACTGAGGAGTGAGTTCCTACGAAGCTGGAAAAATGGTGCTCATGTGGTCAGTCACATGATTGTCAGCTATAAACAAAATGTCTGTTACTGCTTGGAAAATTAATGAATCATACTTAATTTAATTATAGAAAAATAACATCCATTTTACTATTTTATTATTTTAATATCCTATATAATAATACGAAACTGACACACTGTGATTTAAATGGCTTCCTGTCTCAAAATGCTGGATGTCTTTTTAAAAATGTGGACATAATTAGAAATAAGTTAACTCTTATTTACATAAGGTAAACATTTGGGTAACACTTTCAGAATACTGTTCTGTCGTTACTGAATAACTACACGGGATCAAATAACTAATGCACTAATAACATTCTAGTAACTACTATCAACTAACAAAAAACTCTTATTAATGATTTAGTAAGTAATAGTGCTCAGTTGAAAGTGGTAGTTCACTATTAGCTAAGCAGTAACTACTTTTTTTTTTTCATGTATCCCGGATAACTACTAAGAGCTACTATACAGGTTCATAATTAATGTGAATTATGCATAATGTATAATAAATTCTAAAGTGAAGATCATGGTAACCCACTAGTAATGACTCAAGTATTACCAAATCCTTCTAAAGGAACTACTAATTATTCTCAGTATTCAGCATTCTAAAGTGAAAAGCACGATAACTCCTTAATATTGACTGACGTTGTAAGCTTTTAAGATATATGTAAGGTCTTTCATAGTAATGACTCAAGTGTCACTACATCCTTCTAAAGGAATTACAAATTATTTGGATCAGTATTCTAAAGTGAAGATCTTGGTAACCCACTTGTAATGACTCAAGTGTTACCAAATCTAGCAAAAGGAATTGTTATCCAGAATCTTACAAAAACCTCAAAAGCTTACAGTGATTTCAGTAATTACTAGAGACGTGTTTTTCACTTTAGAATAATGATCGAAATAATAAGTACATCCTTCTGAAGAATTTGGTAATACTTGAGTCACTAGTGTGTTACCATGACCTTCCCTTTAGAATTAATTATACATTATGCATTATTCATTTTAATTATGAACCTGTTTACAGTAGTTCTTAGTGGTTCTTGGGAAGGTATGGAAAAAATAGTAGTTCCTGATTAACTAATAGTGAACTACAACATTAGGATAAGCACTATTTCTCGCTATTACTTACTTGTTAGTTACTAGAGTGCTAATATTGTGTTGCACATGTGTTCTTGTGTAGCTGTTCATTAATGGCGGAACAGTATTCTAAAGTATTACCAACATTTGACCTGGCTACTTGTTTGACTAGTAAAATGATCAGTTGTGTAAGACCTAATTATTTCATTATATTAATATTAAAAAAAAGTACTGCACCCCTTAATAATGGGCAATTTCAAAACCTGACATAATACAATAATTGTTAAAGTTTCCAGTAACAAAAGTGTGCACATTACCACAAAGTGCAACAGTTGCCGTATGGGATTTACAAAACAAATTTTGAATTGATCCCTCCTTGAAAACTCAGAGATGTGGATTTGGATGGCAATTAAATTACCACACAACCTTCTTAGAAGTCTTCTAATTTCTAGTGAAATCAGTTTTATTTTATTTCTAGTTTTTATATTAAATTCTGTATATAATAAACCTTAAAAAAACTCAGAATGAAATCAAAATTAAATACAACTATTTCAAATTAAATATTTCAATATTTTATAATTGAATATAGTAATATTTTTTATTTCGTTTGTTTTACATGATCCCTTTCTTGATTTGCAGGTCTAGATTAAATTTTTTTTTGAATAAATAAAAAAAATAGAAAAAAAATAAATTCACAATTAGAATTAGTGCAATAAACAAAAAAAATAATATTTCTAAATATATATATATATATCCAAATGAAAATCATAGTGCCATTCTATGGCTCAAACACATTCTCACTGCAAAGAATCTATGTACTTCATATGTCATAAATCCAGCCTTAAAGGGATAGTTCACCCAAAAAGGAAAATTTGATGTTTATCTGCTTACCCTCAGGGCATCCAATATGTAGGTGACTTTGTTTCTTCAGTAGAACACATATGATGATTTTTAACGCCAACCGTTGCAGTCTATCAGTCGTATAATGCATGGCAATGGTAACAAAATCTATGAGAGTAAAAAAAACATGCACAGACAAATCCAAATTAAACCAAATTAAACCGCGCATGGCATCCGGTGCGTGAGGTGTGTACGCGCTCTGACGTAGTTTACGCATGTGCCGAAAGTGATCTCTCGTGCGTATATGTCACTCATTGTTTACACAGTGCACAGTCATTGTAGGTACGACGGCTAATCAAAATGGTACTTACTTGCGCTTATCCGGATTGTTCAAACCGACTTAAAACTAAAAGATTACGTTCTCTCTGTTCTCAAAGTGGTGACTTTCCACGTATTCCCAACTTCTGAGCCTGCTCGCCTGAAGTTATGGTTGATTGCTCTTCGGCTGGATATCAACACACCCATTAACGTAAACTACGTCAGAGCGCGTACACACCTCACGCACCGGATGCCGTGCGCGTGCCCAAAGACAGTTGGACATAGTGGTGTATTAGAGGTAAAAAATGATATAAATACTGATCGGTTTCTGGCACAAACCGATCGTTTCGTGTCTTAGGACATCAATGTGTCGTCATAAGCCGCAGGGTTGAATTTGGATTTGTCTGTGCATGTTTTTTTTACTCTCATAGATTTTGTTCCCATTGCCATGCATTATACGACTGATAGACTGCAACGGTTAAAGTTAAAAATCATCATATGTGTTCTACTGAAGAAACAAAGTCACCTACATGTTGGATGCCTTGGGGGTAAGCAGATAAACATAAAATTTTCATTTTTGGGTGAACTATCCCTTTAAAGTGTTAAAAACCTTTAGAAGTCAACTCAGGTTCCCCCACAAAAATAAACATTCTTTGCTTTGACAAAAACTTACATTTTTATGCAATTTACTTTCCAGAAATAGCTTGCATATTGTAGTAAAACCCAACAGGCCTTCAACAACGATTGTAGACTTTAGCAGAAAATTGGAAAATGAATCCATCTGATCATCCGAACGAGAAAATGTGCCCACAGAGTCCATTAGCTTTGTGTTTACATGCAGAATTTAATGTCCTGTTGTCTGTCAGCTGCCAAAATCTAGGCATGCACCTGTTTCACATTTAGGGCTTCCACTCTGATTACTCACATAGGAGCATGACACAACATTGTGTTCAACTCCATGAACTAAAAATAAGACAATGTCTACAAAATTATCTTGTTACGTGCCTAAACATACATAAAAAGTATAAATAACTGAACTAATTATGGATAAAAATATTTTTTTATCACTTATCAGTCTCTAGTTTTTTTTCCTATAGGTGCTATCTTTAGAGTGGAATGAGAAGCGACAGGGGTGCGAACGCACCTGGCAGAGCTGGTGTGACTAGAGACAGCTGTAATGAGGTGGAACTAAGCTACTGGCCGCTTACCTGATCACCGGTGTGAATAAACTATGGAGTCGGCAGAACAGCCTCACACCCTGAGGGGAAGAAGGACATTTGTTCTTGTGTGTCAAACTTTTCCAAAAGGCAGAAAGAGACAGAGAGAAACTGGCCATTTAGCAGAGCATGGCTGCTTGAGTTACCTTGGAGATAACATCCTGCATGTCGCTGCGAGGGTGGTATGTGCCGTCATCATAGCGGAACCTATAGAGCACCGGCTCTGGCTTAAACTGGTGCTTGTCTGTAACTGAAATGAGTTCAAGAGTGTGGAGATTAAATTAAGAGTAGAACAAAATGCATCCAAATAATACGTTTCCATATAAATGTATGTTTACACTATTGTTCAAATGTTTGGGGTCAGTACAATTTTTATTTTTCAATAGAAATCAATACTTTTATTAAGCAAGGATTCATTCAATTGATCAAAAGTGACAGTATTTACAGTGTTACAAAAGATTTAGATTTCAAATAAATGCTGTTCTTTTAAACTTCCTACTAATCACAGAATCCTGATAGATAAAAACGTATCATGGTTTCCACAAAAATATTGTTTTCAACATAAGAAATGTTTCTTGAGCAGAAAATCAGCATATTAAAATTATTTCTGAAGGATCATGTGACACTGTAGACTGGAGTAATGATGCTGACAGAAATAAATTACATTTTTAAATATATTACAAAAAAAAAATACAAATAATAATCTTTCCAAAAATTCTAAACTGGAAAACCCCCAAACGGGAGAATATATAAATAAATGAAAATATTACCAACTATAATAGCAATATTACTAATAAAGTTCATTTACAAGCAGTCCCACAAAATAATTACATAGATGACATTTTTGAAAAGTTTTGTGAACCATTTTTTTTTTATAATTGTTAACCTTTATTTGCATGTATTGTATGTAATTTATTTCAATTTATTAAAATAGTAGTTGTAATTTATTTCACAAAATTGTCCAATAACGGGAGCAATGAAAATTACAGAAGTATCAGCTGGTCATGTGATCTCAGAATGATGGCCTCTATGTGGCAGCCTGCTTTATGAAGAATAAAACAGCTTTTATAAGGCTACTGATATGACTGGACTCATTTATTAATTGAAGGATCATGTGACACTGTAGACTGGAGTAATGATGCTGACAGAAATAAATTACATTTTTAAATATATTACAAAAAAAAAAATACAAATAATAATCTTTCCAAAAATTCTAAACTGGAAAACCCCCAAACGGGAGAATATATAAATAAATGAAAATATTACCAACTATAATAGCAATATTACTAATAAAGTTCATTTACAAGCAGTCCCACAAAATAATTACATAGATGACATTTTTGAAAAGTTTTGTGAACCATTTTTTTTTTATAATTGTTAACCTTTATTTGCATGTATTGTATGTAATTTATTTCAATTTATTAAAATAGTAGTTGTAATTTATTTCACAAAATTGTCCAATAACGGGAGCAATGAAAATTACAGAAGTATCAGCTGGTCATGTGATCTCAGAATGATGGCCTCTATGTGGCAGCCTGCTTTATGAAGAATAAAACAGCTTTTATAAGGCTACTGATATGACTGGACTCATTTTGTAATTTTAAACATATTTGCCAAAGGTAAAAGTGATTTTTTGTACACTTTTTGCATTGTTCATTAGCACTTATATTTCAAATACATACAACACTAACAATGTAATGTAAAGATTTAAAACGTATGGTTTATATTCTATTTGGATTAATTTTACACGTGCATGGAGACAGAAATTCTATACAATGAGGCTGATTGAATATCTTTGTTGGTATTAAAATGTTTTACAACAATGGCACGAACAGCTACAAAAACTCTTAAGGACCTTCAGAATCTCTCAGTGGAATTTAGAAGCTTTCAGCTCCATGTAAGCACAAATGCAAGTAACACTAACATGCTTATGAAAAGTAATCCCTGCCAAATGAATTCATCCTCCTGAGCGAACACTCAGCAAAGGCTTAAAGATCTTTCTCACCAAAGCTGTAAATGCGAGCGAGTGGACAGAGGGCCCTAATGCTCAAATTTATTTCTCCCTGTTAGGAAGCGGTGAAGTGAAAAGTGATTTAGCATGAAGTCTTGGCTCAAAGCCAGTCTCCTTTAAGGAAAAAAATGGTCTATATGGTGAGCATGCATTAAGCAGAACTGGAACCCACGGACCAAACAAATGACAAAAGAAATAGCAGAAGACCAGCCATTTCCCTCGGTATTAAACAAACAGCAGGGTGTGAAGGGGTGAATATTTGTAACACTTTATATAAACATAGACAAAGTAATAAAAAGCCATCTGCTCTTGGACACTCCCAGAATTCCTCAGGGCTTGAGAACAATGGCAGGGCTCTTGAAATATTAAGAGGGCTAATTGTTCAATCAGCCATCTGCATTAAACGGATAGTTCACCCTAAAATGAAAATTCTGTCATCATTTACTTCCCCTCATGTCATTCCAAACCTGTATGACTTTTTTTCTTCTTCTGTGGAACACAAAATGATATATTTTGAAGATTGCTGGTAACCAAACGTTTTTGACTTCCTTATTGACAAAAAGGGCCTCAATAGGACCCAAAACTGTTGGGTTACCAACATTCTTCTTTTTTGTTGCACAGAAGAAATGTATGCAGGTTTGAAATGACATGAGGGGGAGTAAATGATAACATAATTTTATTTTTGGGTGGACTATACCTTTAAAATATTAACTAAGCACAAACAGTGATGATGAAAACTCAACTTATTATTTTGAGCTAAGCAGGCATGACATAAACTTGATAATCAGGCCCACTGGTTTTGACTGATGGCCAATGGCCTTTAGTTCAATATGGTGTATTGCCTTTTTTCCTATTTATAAGATTAGAATACGTGTTAAACATTTTTTTCTGTATTATATTTTGTCAATTGCTATCTGGCTCTCAACTATCCCCTAATTCTTACAGAATTATAATAACTAAGGCAAAATAAATTACATTTCAGTCATCATTACTCACTCTCGTGTCATTTCAAACCTGGATGACTTTTTTTCTTCTGCAGAACACAAAAGAAGATATTCTGAAGAATGAGGTTTTGAAGTTTTGTCCATACAAACTAAGTCAGTGGGTTGCAAAACAGCATTGGACTCAATTAACTTTCATTGCATGGACAAATAAACACTGAGCCATATTTCAATATATAATTTGTGTTCCACAGAAGAAAGAAAGTGATACGGGTTTGGAATGACATGAGGGTGAGTAAAAATCAACAGAATTTTTATTTAATTCAGTAAACTCTTTGTAGTCAGCAGGAATTTCCAAATGTTTTTGTCAGACAAATACCTTTGACCTATAAGATTTAAGTTAATATTTCAACGATTTAACAAACCATTTGCATATTCCATTTTTTTTTCAGTTAATGCCGGGTTGATGGTCATGTGATACGAAGGTTTTCTTTTTTAGTAAATGTTTTATTTTGATTATCTTTTATTTTTAAAGGATTTATTTCAAAAGATTTATTTCAACATTTTGATAATTTAATTAATCATTAGTGTTTCATCAAATCTTAAAACCCCCCTGCCGTTCTCCCAAAAACTCCAGTTACACAACATAGTTACTGTAAAAATTTGAATCAATACTGACATGCAGAAAGTCAGAATATGTTAGTAAAAGATAAAAATGATGGCATAAAGTGGAAATGGAAATGGAACTGACCGTGGTGGATGATGCCATTTTCCAGAAGAGCCTGGCCCAAATGAACCCCTTCCTCAGGGTTATTGGTCTCTCCGATCTCCATCAGCCACGACACAAACTCACTAAGAAAAGAGAGACAGAGGACATATAAATAATGTGAGGACAATCAAAGAAGGACCGATAAATTATATGAATGACTGTCAACAAAATACATTAAAACTGAGTGCTCACACAGAGATGAGCTAATACAATTAATAGTCTTCTTGTGCAGTGAGGTGGAGTTTAAGTCTGGTCACATTTCCTTTCTTTCTTTCTTTCTTTCTACACATCTATTTACTATCCATCTATCTATCTATTTATCCACTCATCTATCTATGAATCTATCCATTGATCCCCTTAACAATGAAGAGATTAGAATAAGAAAAAAATTTACTCCTTTTTTATTTCTCTCCTACTCTTTTTCAATCTTTGTCTGGTTTCTTAAGTCTTTTTCTCCCGATAAAGCTAAACTGACTGCCCTGTATAATTTTGTAATTTTGCTGGGTAAAGCCACTGTCTCAGTGGAGGACATCTGATTCTACTCCCAGCACTCCCTCTCCTTCCCATCCACCTCTCCGCAAAACCAAAATGAGCATGCCAAGCTCCACCAGTGTAATCCTGCGGCTCTTCCCAGAGTCTATGGAACCCGATTGTGATACAGCATGAGAAACATCTCAGACTCCAGCAGACCTCTGAGGTTTTAGAAGACAGAATTTAGGTCTGTATTCCAAAGCATTAGTGAATTACAACCAATAAAAAGTGTACAAAGTTTGGATAGCGCACTTTCGCTGACTGAATGAATGATGGATATGAAGAGATAGAAACAGAAAGAGAAAATGACAGTGAACAAAATGAATAAAGAAAGATGAACACAGAACAAGACAGAATGTATAAATGTAGAGCATAACATCAGCACAGTCTCTGTGACAGAATTAGATACAATGATTGAAAGAGAAAGAGTGAAAAGACAGGAAATAATGCAGGGTTTGTCATTCCGCTGTCACTTTGGTAATTGCTTTAAAATTTTTACCTCCATTTCTGCACAATTGAACTGTACATCACACCACGGTATTACTGAAATTAATTCCACCAGATCACAAAGACAGCAGGATTTTAATCAAGAAGCACAGATGTTCCAGTAGCTCAGGTGGCACATGCAACTATTATTATATTAGGGCTGATAAACAGAATTTCAGTTTGCTGGTCTATACTATTTTCCAGCTCAGTGATTCTGTTTTTGTTTTTTTTTGACATGTTGGTGGTTTATCTTTCACTTGGATGTTATAAGTTGCACTGAGTAAATACAGCTGCATTTCAGGCTGCAAAGAAATAAAATGTGATTATTTTAAAGGGGGGTGATTCTTTTCTATACCCACTGTACGTATATATATATAAAAAAAGTGAATTTAAGCATCACAGTATTACAATATGTACTATAAGATAGTTAATGAAAAAAAATAAGTTATTTTAATAAAGGTGGTATTTCTCGGATTATGGTGAGATGAAAATTACTGGTTCTTACAAACACAGAAAATAATTTTACATGTGCAGATAGAAAATGACCATTATTGTTAATAATGAATGAGGAAGAGTCCATAATAAACATCACCTGATAAATATCCAATATTGACTAATACTGAAATCAATCAATCCATCAATCAATCAATCATGGATGCCTAGAGCACATATACTAATAAATGTGAATACACTGTAGTTTTGGATAAAAGCATCTGCTGAATGCTGTTTGCTAGTCCTGAGTGAGAACAAAAAATGCATAATTTCTTTGAGCAGCTTGATCTAAAAAATGGAGTTTAACTAAATATAGTGAATAATTTCCTTAAAGCAAGTGTTTCAATTAAGTCTGTTTGTTAATTAAGAGCTAACATTTGCTAAAAATTCAATACTCAGAGATTAACATGCACATTTAGCACATTAAGCAAAGAGAGAGACACTTATTAAAAGGGGAGAACTATACGAAAGCAGAGCAGAGTGAAATTATGTTCAAATAATGAGGGCATAGAGATACATGAAGCAAACAGATGAGATTGATCAAAAATATTACTGGCTGTGAATCACACGTTAAAATAGTAACACAAACCGGTGGCCAGATCACTACAGTGTTTCAGCACATTCACCCAGAAAGAGATATATTTTCACAGGTTCTGCTGTCATATGTTTCTTCAGTTCATCTGGCTTTCAGAGACGCACAAACCACCCACTCATGAACATTATCTGCTGTCTGTGATGTCTATCCTTAATGAATCCATTCCCGCTCCAGACCTCGCTGTCTGTGTGCTGTCTGGAAACGCTGGGGGAAAAAATGTTGTGCCCCTAAATCCATTTACAATATAATCTGGCCACAACTATAAGCAGTTGTTCTTTGAGGAGGCTTTTTTATTATCATTTCCTTTGAACAGGCAAATCCCAACCAAAAATGGCATTATAAAGAGTGGTTGAGTGTCACAGCATCCTGTCTTATTTTAGTGAACGGTGAGGTTGTCGTATTGACATCTCAAAGGGTTTGAATTATGAATGCCAGCTGCAGAGACTTCTGCATTGCCAGTCGAGCTGAGTTAATCTGAATTCAGCCTGAGGATTTCCCAACCACACTTAAAACAAAAGAACAAAAAAATCTAACACATCTCGGAACAATCTCCTTTATATTTTCTGGTCTGGGTACTGAAGTGTAATGCAAACACTTATATCTTCAAAGCTAAGCGGCAATATTTCTATCAGATCAAACTTAAAACGATGATAACTTGTGCAGAGTCTTTATAAGTCGTTGAAAAAAAATGTGTAAATCAATATTCTAAACTCTAGGTTAACATAATCCTGGGTTATTTGATTTCACGTTTCCCTAGTTCTTAATTCTTTGAGTAGTTAGTTTAAAAGGTTTCATGTGAGAACCCTGGGTTAACCTTCTTATTTGCATATTCATGAGGTATTTATCATGTTGATTTGTTTTAATACCTGCTTGTCTAAATATGTAAATATTGCCAGATAAATCTGGTCTGGATTAAATCTCACTTTTGCTGTAACTGTGTCCCTAAAATGCTGAATGTAAACAGCATTAATATTTAATGAGGCAAACATTAAGGCAGTTTATGATTGGTTGGCTCATGCTAAACAACTTCATGTTACATGGATGGCACATCCTCATTTCACACTGCAATTTGGGGTTAACAATGCAAAAGTGGTGCATGGTTGGTAATGGAGGCATTAAAAGGGGGACAGCAGCCTTAAAAACTACAAGTATGGAACACTTTACACTTTCACACTTTTTTTGCCCTATGTTCCCTTGTCCAGTGTTAAACGTCTAGTAGCGCTACGTGTGTCTCCATCCTACCCCTGCTTGGATGTTTATTAAAGATGGTTATCCTGAATCTCCTTCATCTCCGTGCTCCTTTGCTTCTTTGCTCCTCACAGTAGACATCCTGACACCAGCCCATACAGAATCTGTAGCCATAGAACTTTTTGCATTTCTGTTTATTAAATAATTACTTATTTGATTCAGCTTCCAATAACACTGTAAATCTGCAGTACTGCAGCTCCCTTTAACATGTGTCCATTTTCAAATTATTCCTCATTTTCTACCAAATCAGTCAGATAAAGTGAAAAAGTCTGCAGATTCCATCTGGGTCTGCTCATGAGTATGGTAGTGGTGTCTTTGAACACAGTTTAAAAACAACTGGGTGGTGCAGGGAACTCTGGGTACCATTTAAAACAGACCAGATTTACACTGTTAAATAAAACGCAGGTATAAAAACATTCAACCAATGCTCTTAAAAGGAGATTCACAATAAAAAAAACGACATAGAAGCTATTTACTAAACATATAAGTCAAATTCCTCAAGGAACATGAAAAAAAAAAAAAGATGGACTCTACAGAAAAGGACAGATTAAAAAGCACAGAAATGGATGGATAATAAAAGTGATCCTGAAACAGTGTTTGAGATCTATTCATCATGTATAGTAGCCTGAGATCTGATCACCCGAATGCTGTCCATCTCTAACTCCATTATACTTCACTGCTCTGTTATTTAAGATGTTCATGAAATGTTATGTGCTCCGGTCACTAACTTCTATATAAGAGCATGTGCTGTAAATAAATTATAATGTTTAGGTCTATTAAATGTTAAAATAAAATAAACGAAATAGTGGAATCAGTATCAGTATTAACAATATCTGACCTTATTATTACTTTGTAAAAAGGTGCTATTATATTGCTATTATATAGATATTATCTATTATATATTTTCTTTATACTGATTCTACATTAAGTTCAGGATTCAATGTAATAAAAATAAATAAACAACAAAAATACATAATAATATAAAAAAATAATAATAATAATTAATAATAATAATAAAAAAAATTGCAATTACAATTACACTGTAATGCCGTACAGTAAAAACTGACCATTAAATCTCAAATTAAGACTTTTGTTCATTCATAGTACACTTAATGAGCTGTAATGTATTTTTTTCAGCAGGTATTATTACATCACTACTCACTTTTTCGTCTTTCTCTCTCTTTTAAAATGGCCTCCAGCCACTCCTGCTTCTCCTCCGGCGTCTTTGCCATGCAGACGAACCACTTGTTCTTCGCTGTGTTGTGGATCTTCCAGCCGTTGTTCACGATGTTCCCGCTGCTGTGGTAATCCGCTGAGGAAAAACACCGACAAGTAATCAATGTCTGCCTGTCAGAGACGCCTTTTATAGTCCTCCCAGGCCACTTCCTTGGATTTTCCAAAACCTATTTTCTTTTGTCTGTGTGGCCCGTTTGTCTACATGTGGCACGACCAGCAATGTTCTCCGTTTCGCATTCTTGCCTTCCCTCCACATTTGTATGCCAGGCTATCTATCAAAGTGGTCCAGATGACAAAATGGCCATAAACAAAGCCGTGTGAACAGCCCATGAGAGCAGTAAAGTTCAGAGCAAATGAAACATTCAGGCAACAAACAAAATAGCCCATGAATGAAATGGATCACAGGCAGGCGACGAATCGATTGCTCTAATTACAAGGCCATGAAGAATCGACATGCTATTTGAACAGTCCTGAAGAACAGGCAGGAATTAAAACCCATCTTGAAGCACTGATTGCATCAATGTCTCAGAGGAACAAAATCCTTTAGAACTTTTTTGCAGCTTTCAAACAATACCGTGTGTAGTGGTTTTTTAATCATTTTCATGCATTGTTTTGGGATAAGTACTTCTCTACATTGTACAGCTCTATACTTTGCAAGCAAGTTGGGTTGTCATAATCATGAATTTTGTGCTGATGATTAATTGTAAATAAAGCAATTATTAAAATAATATTTTATTATAAAGAAATTGTGTTTTAAAAATATTATTATTAGGCAATAATAATAATAATAATAATAATAATATAGTATTAGTATTAATTTATTGATGACTTTTCTAATAATTTGTTATTATTTTATAAATTGTATATATGTAAGTGTGTGTGTGTGTATTAAATAATACAATTTATTATTGTTATTGTTGAATTGTTTTTGTTTGAATATGTTGTTCGATAATATATTTTTATCCCAAATCCTTAAATTTTATGCCCAAATGTGGTATTACATAAAGTAAAACAATGCATGGTAATATTATGTTAATACATTCACATAATAATAATAATTATTAATTTGCAAATAAATTCTTTAAAAATCCTACAATGTGATTTTCTGGATTTTTTTTTCTCATTTTGTCTCTCATAGTTGAGGTATACCTATGATGAAAATTACAGGCCTCTCTCATCTTTTTAAGTGGGAGAACTTGCACAATTGGTGGCTGACTAAATACTTTTTTTCCCCACTGTATATATATAAAATAGTAGTAAATTAATCAAATTATTATTATTATTATTATTATTATTATTATTTGAAAATTGTTGTTTTGAACGTTTTGAATGTTATGTGATTACTTATTTCTGTTATTTCTGTTAATTCTTCAGTTTTACGCATGATTAAGGTGTTATGCCCTAAGATTTTTGCAATTACGCAAATATGTGCAATTACATAAAGTTCATTTGAAAAGCTCACGTAACACACTGCTGCTTCAAAAAGGTAGACTACATTTGCTTAAAACTCCCTTATTTGGAAGATGATTATGCAATAATCATGACAGCCCAACAAGCAAGATCCGACAGAGCATAACTCTGAAAACCATATGCGAACAAACACCTCAGCAAAAAAACAAATAAGGTGAGATGTATTCATCAGTTTCTTTTCTCATGCATTAGAAATGGGCTGTACGGTCGCACCATAATCAGTCAATCTGGGCGCCTGTGTTTCCTTCCCCCGTAAATGGCCTGTGTGTTGCAATGATTACGCGTCTCAATTCAGCACAGGAATTGGATAAATTACACCACAGGCAGCATCTTCCTTTAATTCAACCGAATCAATTTCCAAATAGCTCTCAACTTTCATATAAAGACCTATCAGTTTTAAAACCGCTTCATTAGCACTTGCAGTTTTTTAATTCATTGTAACAGAATGCTACAAGCTTTTACTTGAATATTCTTTCTTTCATTTAAACAACCGAAATGCAAATCAAAGAGAAACTCTCCATCTATGGCTTAGAGTGCACTTTTACAGCTGCGCACAGGAAGTCTCCATCAACCTAACAGCTTTCATTACACGCAAATAATAGTTTATGTCTGGATTTTAGACGGAGCCATTGGGGAGAATGGGAAAACACCCACAAGCAAATGCGGCGGTGTTGGCTTTGTATAGATTCCATGGACTGAAACCCATCCTGAAACCCATCTCCAGAGCAGCCAGATATTAGGTCTGCCAGGGAGCAAATGATTGCTTCTACAAATATAAGTGATAATCAGGGCTTCTCCATCGCCAAAACACACTCCACTCAAGAGTTCATCCAGTCACCGGGCTCCAAGCACTTGTCATCCTGCCCAGAAAATGACATTTTTCTAACCTTTAGCAATTAAAGTAGTTAAACACTTACCCCACAGGCTTTGAAACTATAAAGCTCTATAGATCTATAGAGTTTATTATAGTTTCCCCCTGAGGGTGCAAAGATTATTCCGTTATTTTAAAACTAATGGATGGATTTCCCTTAAAGGCAATTATGTTTGCTGTTACATGACTTATATAAACTACTTTGATGGTGGTATTTTTTTTTTTTTCACTTTTAGAACTTAATAGCCCTAGTACCCAATTACTTTTATTATTCGGAAAAGACATTCTGCTAAAATCCCTCTTTTGTGTTTTACAGAAAAAAATTAAATACCCATAAGGATCAGGGGTATTATAGTTAACTAAAACTTCAACTTTAAAAAAGTTACTTTAAATAAACAATAAAATAAATTAAATAAAACATAAAAAGTAAACTATTTTCTCTAAAATAAAAATAAAAACTGTACATATTTTTTTTTTTCTAGTTCACGTTGGCCACAATTATTGGCACCCAATTATTTCAACGTCCTTTTCCCAAGATAACAGCTCTGAGTTTTCTACTATAATGCCTGATGAGTTTGGAGAACACCTGAGTGCACTTCACAGAGATCAGAGACCATTCCTTCATCTAGAATCTCTCCAGATCCTTCAGATTCCCAGCTCCATGTTGGTGCTTCTTCTCTTTAGTTCACCCCACGCATTTTCTATAGGGTTCAGGTCAGGGAACTGGGACGGCCAGGGCAGAAGCTTCATTTTGTGCTTAGTGAGACATTTTTGTGTTGATTTTGATGTTTGATTTGGATCATTGTCCTGATGGAAGTTCCAACCACAGCCCATTATATGATTTCTAACAGAGGCAACCAGGTTTCGATTTTTTATCTGTTGGTATTTGATAGAATCCATGATGCAATCTATCTGAACGAGATGTCCAGGACCTCCGGCAGAAAAATAGGCCCACAACATTAATGATCCAGCAGTATATTTAACCATGGTGATGGGGTACTTTTTAAGTTTCATCTGACCATAGAAGCCAGTCCCGTTTGAAGATCCAGTCGTGTCTGACAACTGAATATGCTGGAATTTGTTTTTGGATGAGCGAGGAGGATATTTCTTGAAACCCTCCCGAACCACATGTGACGTAGGGGCTGTTTGAAATTTTTTTTAAGCTTTCTGACCCCAAGACTCAACTAATCTCTGCAATTCTCCAGCTGTGATCCTTGGAGAGTCTTTGGCCACTCAAACACTCCTCCTCACCATGCATTAGGATGATATAAACACATGTCCTCTTCCAGGCTGATTTGTAACATCTTTAGCTGATTTGAACTTCTTAATTATTGCCCTGAAAGTGGAAATTGGGATTTTCAATGCTTTAGCTATTTTCTTACAGCCACTTTCTATTTTGTGAAGCTCAACACTCTTTTTATGCGCATCAGAACTATATTCTTTGGTTTTACTCCTTATGATGGATGATTAAGGGGATTTGGCCGTTGTGTTTCTCATATTTATAATCCTGTGGAACAGGAAGTCATGGCTGGACAA